CACCGCAACCAAAAGCTCACAGCGGCACCCGGAAAAACTCGCCAAGCGCAAATCGGCAGCCACCGACTCGTGGCCTCGAGCCGCGAACTTTTGAACCAAGTCTCTCGGTGCTCGCGGCTGCGAAAATATCTCTCAGCCTTGGCCGTGTAGCGGCGACAAAAAAAAAAAAAAAAAAAAAGGGCCAGGTATAAAAACGCCGCGGCAGCAGAAGCAGCGGGCATGAAAATTAATTAGAGCCCCGAGCGTGCGCGCAAGCGAGCGCTAAATGAAGAGGCGCACGCGAGCGAGTTGGCGTTTGCAAAAGGAGGCCGACCCCCCCCCCCTTTGTATACCACACCGCCGCTTGTAAATGCTCGGTAATTAAAATAATAATTCCTTAAATCCACGCGGTGGATCTTGGCCGGGCTCACATGAAAGCGAGCCCCGCTTTGTGTAGGATATAATATGTACTCGAAGCCATGGGCTGTGCCGGGGTTTTTTCGTAAACTGTCTTTGTGCTCTCGTGGACTTGTTTTTGCCTGAGAAGCGTATTGTTGCGGGAAAGCTTAATCCTCGACGGATACAGCCGATGTTGCTGCTGCCCGTTTGACATGGATCGGGCAAGCTCGGGGTTCACGTGTGCCAAATTTTTAATGTGGGCAGTTTTTATGCGTCTAGAGGGAAAAATACGACGAGGAAACGGGAGCTCCGTACAGGAGGGTAATCGGGCAGCTTATGCAAAAGAGACGAAAATATTTTGTATTCAAAACCCTTGAATAAATGCAGAAAAATGGTAAGCACCTTTCGGTCAAACCTTTGGCTGTACGTAAAAATGAAACGAATGATCGGTACTTGGAAAAGCAGTTATTATTTTCCATGAGCTTGTTCCACAACCAGAGTAATTTTAACTGGAAAATCCTGTACTGAATGTCTCACAAAACACAGAATAATTATCAAAGTTATTTTCCTCATCCAAATGGCGCATAAAGTCTTATCCCTTGGCGACTCTGTACTTTTCCTTTAAAGATATGGATCGAATTATCGTACAACTTAAGCGCCCGCGGTGTAGAGCTTTTGAAAGCCAAAGCTCAGCGACTGTCCATCTCCATTCGGTTGGCGGTGCCGGCTATTACTGCTGCTAAGTAGCACAGCGTCCAGTAATTTGCGACCACGGCAGCAATGGTACCTGCGCACATGCTCCCAGGGCACGAAAAACCGGATTCCCAGCTTAAAAGGCTCCCGGCGCTCGGTATAGGCGCGCGTATCGCTCATCTTCATAAAAGGGTGCGATTAATTTTTCTCACCATCAAGCGGTCTCATATCGATGCACACTCTCAAGGAACATATACGTGCTAGTGGACGCTAATTTTACGGAACACCATATTTATAAGGGATGTACATATATATACGTGGAAAAATGGTCCCAGAGACGCGGTAGTTACTCACGTAAAGATATGCATCTTCCAAAGCAGGTAGTCGGTATCCATATGTATCTACAACACAGGAGCTTCGCGGTACATGCAGGCGAACGTGATTGATTCGATCACGGATTACCTGTATATGTACACCTATACATACGAGTGTGTACACTGCCGATCTGGCCTCGTTCCCCGTTACACACTATAAGCGTTCGTACCTATACGGATGGATGTGTGCGAGTAGCAAAAGTCGTTAGCTCTTTTGGGACTCGTGCATGTGCACGTGTATCGGAGACGTAGAAGGGGACATCACTCACGGGGTACCGAGATACCAAAAGCGATTACGTGTGCATCTATGCTATAGGAGATATTCCGCGATTTTTTACCGCAGGACACGGTCTTTAGAATTCATGGGTACGTGTTGGTGGACGTATGTGTATATTATACACCTGCGCTCAGCGTGCCAGCACACACGTGAAAGTATGAAATTTGTGTGCACCGTGAAAGGCCCCAGCGGTAGGCTCTCGACTTTATGGCTCATTCTTTCGATTCAAAGAGAAAGAGGGTAAGGGGAAAAAGTATCGCCTATCAGATCGGAGGGGGAGATACGATCAGGTGCGCGAAGAATGGGCTTTTCACTTCGAATCTTTCTCTCGATTTCGCGGATTTTTGCCCGAATCGGCCCCTCGATTGCCGATACCTCGCCTGGCGTTATTCGGTATGGATTACACGTCGCGGGGGTTTCTTAGATTGTTTGCCACAGACAGACACAATAGATAATAACGATATATACCTGCAACAAGTGCTCCACTATGCCAGGGCGAAATTATTATATCGATCCCGATATGATCCTAGTACTCGATGGCGCGCTTATACGTGTATACATACACGCGCTGGTTGTGGATTTTCTTGAAATAATGGCACTAAGTATACTTGCTGCGAGTATCAAATATCGTGCGATTTCTACTCTATTCCGGGATGCCCTACTTACGTACAGTTACGCAAGAAGTGAATATACACACCACACCCATGGTGTACGAGCAACGCATTATTTCACGGGCAACAAGTGTACCGGCGAGGTCACCGCTTGTACAAATTGGCCAAAGTGCAGCGTCAAAGGGCCCGTGGTTGTGATTATATTTTGACTAGCTTGTCTGGCGATAAATGTCTCTTCCCCCCCAACGTCAGCATCACGAGGTGGAGTACAAAACAGCTCGTTGTACGTGTATATAAATGTGCAGTCTGCGGGCTAATTGAAAAATAAGGGCACAATGGAGCGTCGTCTCTGGACCGACAAAAGCACAGCGGCAGCCCCGACGCGTCCGTCACTCGCAGCGTATTTACTTGTGATGGTCGTATGCACACGTACAATGAAGATCGAGTATATGTATGTATTGTACAAGAACGGGAGCCCCGAGAAAAGGCGAGCGGCGTCTTGTATGCTTCTTTCAGGGGACAATAATTTGCAATGAACGAGCTCGCGCCGCGAATCAAGGGGATTCTTGTTTCTGTAGGTGCAAGTGCTCTTTGGGAAGGGAAACGTACCGCATGTTAGTGGGATCGTTTGCACATCGCGGCGAATTTACTTGGGAGGTGGGGGGGGAGCACTCGAAAGAGAATGGCGGAGGTTTTAATTTGCCGGTGGATGATGGCTGATGAGATGAAAGGGGCCGGATGATGGGGGTCCTCGAGTGGTCTTTTGCGATTCGAACGTGGGGCCACTGATGGATGGGAGAGATGCGTCTGGGCGCTGTTACCCGTGCATTGTCTTCGAATCGAGACTCCTGGTGGTGCGTCTGACTCACCTAGCTCAAGATCGTCATGGCAAAAGAGACGAGCGAGCAACTGTCCCGTCATTGATTGTTTCTCGTTGTCTCTGCGTGAGAATAGTACATTTAAGAGGATCCATGATGCGATGGAAAATTAAGTTTGGGGGTTGCATGGATGAATGAGAATTTTCTATATGGATTGTTTCGCACAGATGGTTTGCAGGATGATTTAATGACAGGAACTTGAAGAAGATCATCAAATTGTACCATATATATGTTTACACCAATTGTACTTTTTATGCTTTTATATCAACAGCTTTTTTTCAATCACCTAATTGTCTTAAAAATCTCTATTGTCCTTATTGATATCCAAAAATTTTCTTTCTTACTTTCGTAACATACTTTAGTTTTGGATCCTAGCAGTAAATTTCTAAAATAACTTATCTACATTTTTTTGTTGGTTCGTGTAATTTCTTTTTTCTTCCCGAGTTCAATAATTGTTTAATCTCATTTATTTTTTCAGTTTGCTAACTTGTACGTTTCATCAAAATCCTTTGAACTCTAAATCTTCTTTTCTTTGAAATTAGATGAGTATATGCTATCTTTACGTAGATACAGCATTGATGTCTTTTCTTCAACCAGTGTCATGCACACTCTTCTTTAACAGATAGAGATTTTTTATCTCACTTTATATATTTTCTGTTCTGCTTTCCATACTCTTATTTAAATAAATAATGATCGTTACATTTTTGTTTATTGGAATTTATGAATTATTGTATTCTCTTTTCTACTTAAATTCATTTTCATTTTTTATTCTCTTACCTATTTTGAATAAATAACTAGATCCCAAACTGTCTATTGCAAAAACAAGGTGAACATTGTAAGCAAGTTTATAGAAAAACGTACATACTTTTATGATTGTTTGTCTTTGCTACTCATGCATTATCACAAATTCAGATATGCCTTGTTAGCTTGTTACGAGTAAGCTTCTACTCTACTGTTCTAGATATTTAATAGTTTTTCTGTTGTTTTTTTTTTTTTTTTCATAGACAGCCAAAGGATAGAATGAAAAAAAGGTTTGTCAGTTAAAAAAAGAGACACTAATAAAATAAAGATTGTAAATTCAGATTAATAAAAAAAAATAAAAGCTCTCTTCTTGCAAACCATCACTAAATTCGCTAGAATCTATCTTTCCTCTTTTTAAAAAAATATCTCTTATTTATTATCAATAAAATGATCATTTACTGTTATGAATTGTTCTGATTTCTCAGAGTCTGGTAGTTGTTTGAAACAGCTGCTCATTATACTACTGTTCCAAGGAGAGTTTCACTAACCACTAGTATCCATTATGCACTTTTTAGTAAAAGCTATTTCTTTTAACCGCTAATTATAAAGTATAATTTCATCTGCACAATCTTCCATGGTAGTCCTGAACCAAATAAAATAAAAGATCCCCACGTTCGACAAGCGCTCGGCTTGACCATAAAAATTAAACGAAAATTGAAAACACGTTTTCAGGTTGTATAATTAAGCTGTAGATAAGGCATATGCATAAGTTTTGCATAAAATTATAGTTTTTTTTTTTTTTTTTTTTTTTTTGGTTCTCATTAGCACCACGTAGGGTATAGGCGTGTGGTTACTGTACAAAAAAAATTTCGTTAACAGTTGCAACTGTTGCGACGTCCGAGCTACAAGTGCCAATATATTTATTCGATCCTTTGGCTGATTCTGCTCAGTCTTTGAAGAAACTTTGAGCAAGAATGTTGGGACCAGTGGTGGAAACCACTCGTGGGTCCATTCGTGGATTATTACAGAAAAGCATTGAAGGTTTTGAGTACTGTGCTTTCAAAGGCATCCCTTACGCGGAGCCACCTATCGGTGAACTACGATTTAAGGTCAGTTTGGTAACATCATCATGATACTATAAATAATCGTATTTAACGAAAAAATTACAAACACCTCCTGTTGAAAATTTGTCGCAGGATCCAGTGCCCGTAAAAAAGTGGATTGGTATAAGAGATGCTAGAAAGTACGGTCAAATGTGCGTCCAGTACGATTGTTTTATGACCCTGAGGGGTGGCTCCGAGGACTGCCTGTACTTGAACGTTTACGCAAAGACTCTTGATAAAGAGAATAAAAAAGCGACTATGGTATTCATTCACGGCGGTGCTTTTTATTTTGGAAATTCGGACGACATGTTTTATGGTCCTGACTACTTGATCAGGAAGGACGTTGTACTCGTAACAATCAACTACAGGCTCGGTGTTTTCGGTAAATACCCACAACGATTCATTACTAATACAATCCAATACTTTCTTCGTTAATTGTATTCAAATCGTACTTTTCTAATGTTTGAATGTAGGGTTTTTAGATTTAGAAAATGAAATAGCTCCAGGAAACCAAGGTCTGAAAGATCAAGTAATGGCTTTACAGTGGATCAGGGATAATATTGGTAACTTTGGTGGTGATCCGGAAAATGTCACTATTTTTGGTGAAAGTACAGGTGGTGCTGCTGTTCATTACCTTACCTTGTCTCCACTATCAAAAGGTTCAAAGTTATTTTAAATACCGTCAATTTTTCAATCATAACATTATTAAAATATCTCTGAAACACAGGTTTATTTCACAAAGCGATTTCTCAAAGTGCTGTGGCTTTTAGTCCGATATGTTTTGTTAAAAATGGACGTAAAAATGCCACTGAGCTCTGTACACTTCTTGGAAAATCATTGAGCGATCCAAAGAAAATTTTAGAATATTTAAAAACAGTTGATTCCAATAAGTTACGTGATGCACAAGAACAACTTAGATTATCAAAGGTAAGGAATACATGATTTTTAATTTTGGGTTGCAAAAGAATCAATAATGTTAATAATTATTTAACAAAATAATTTTTATTTTATTTTTCTTTCGAGTTACTGTGCAAAATAATAGATTTACGGGTGTAAGCCTCTACTTATTACTTGGAATGAGTACAAGTGTAATAAAAAGTATTAGTAGGTACCGAAAATTCTTTATTTTCGTTTATAAATGTAAACTTGTAATTTACCATGCCGTTGGGTACGTTTAAAAACTCATTCCGATTGTTAGTATACTATGAGTGCTACTTTTTTCCCTAGTAGTGACAAGTAAAAAATTGATTGCCTTAGGATGAACATGGAAAGCTCCATACCTGACATATCTCAAATATCATTCTTCATAGAGAGTGTAGTGCAAACTTATTCTCATTAATTTTGTATCCTTCCTTAGATCACATTTCCTTTTGGACCAGGAGTAGATGATAAATCCCTGTCGCCTTTCATGCCCTTTTCAGCTGAAGAAATGTCGGAGAAAGGTGTTCATATACCTTATCTTTTAGGATACACGAGTGGCGAGGGAATTCTTATGTTATCAGGTATTGCATGGTAGCACATAAGATAACGATAACCTATTTCATTCAGATGCATTTACTGTCAAGGGCCTTAAGAGGAGTGAGCTTTTCAAAATCTTGGATGAAAATTTTGATTCTTGTATTGATGAAAACTATCTTAGCGTACTGAATAGACACAATATAATACCTATGCAATTGAAACGTCTATATTACAAAGGTAAACAAATATCGGAGAAAAACTGCAGTATTTATGCAAAATTTGTTGGAGAACTAACATTTATTGAAGGAATTCACAAGCTCATAAAAATTCAAGTTAATAAAAGTTCAGCACCAACGTATCTTTACAAATTCTCGTATGATCAAGGGTTTTCATTGATCAAGTCCAAGTTGAAATCATTGCAACTTCGAGGTAAATATAGTTTTTTCTCGATTTTCAATAGTTTTATAAGAAAAATTATCTGATGAATAAATTCTTCCACTTTAGGTGCAAGTCATTTTGATGACTTAAATTATATCTTTAAAATGAATCTGTACGACTTATTAGGAGTACCACATTTGCAAAAAGGCTCACATGATTATAAGGTAATGGAGCAAATAACGGAAATGTGGACGAATTTTGCCAAATATGGGTAAGTTGTTTTCATTGAGTAATAATAGAATAATTTATTTAACAGAATGAAAAGGTTAAAATTGTAGTTATCAGTGATGTTAATAATTTTTCAAGCAAGAGGCCTTACATTAATAGTTAAAAAAATTTACGTTCCAAAATAAATTACCTTTTTAATCAAACGAATATAGGAAAACTGTTTGAAATTCAATCTGATTTTAAAAATGTATAGTCTGTTTATCGTAAAAATTGCATTTATCAGCACCAATCATTATTTGTGGTGGCAAATATAAATTCACTACCTAATAAAGGCATACTATCAAAAAAATATAGGTGACAAATTTTCTCAATAATTCTTTACTAAATACACCTATTGATAGTACTTTTAAGGAAATTGGAGTAATTGTACTTATTTTTTATGCTATATATTCTGCTACATCTCACGTATTTTAGCTTAATATGATATAAGGTCTATTATAGAGAAAAATGTTTGTTAAAAAATTATTAACGAGACATCAACTACTTTGTTTTAGAAAACCAACCATTATTACTTCAGAACTTTTACCCACTCATTGGCTGCCAGTGGTTAACGACACAGTTCTTCGTTATTTAAACATCGGTGAGGATTTGACAATGCAGTCAGTGTTAAACATAGAAGAAAAATTTGCGTTAGCTCGAAATATTAAAATTTAAAGTATATAATCTCACTGAATGTATATCAATAACCTTTTAAAGTTCATGGAATGTAATAATTTTCACATATATAACCTCGAAAAAAAAAAATATATTGCATTCCTCTGTATTCGTATTACTGCTGTTTCCAATATTGTTCAAAGTACAGTATTGAAAAAAACCTAAAAAAAATTTACTTACCTACTGGGATATTTTGAATAAACGATTCTCATTTTTCGTGTTCTTTCGCATGTACTGTTATGCTTCTTTCTCGACTCAGCGAGAGTATATTATTATGCATGTGTGGTTGTCTTATCAGTACATGAATATCGAATCGCAGTTGTTGCTTTTGCTTTGTTTTCACTTTTCATCTTGCCCCACTCACCTGCTTACCTTTTTTTTATACGTAATACATTTCTCGAAAAGCATATTACGTATAGTGTTGTTTTGAAAAAATTATTGTTTGCAAATGAGCTGGAAAACAAGAACACGTATGAGAAACTGAATTTTTCTCCTATAGAGTTGTTTAATGCTTATCGGCTTGTGAGAGCAAGTTGCAAGAGATTGTTAATACTTTTTCTAATCAATTTTCCTTGGCTGAAATGAGTTTTTTGATTTACGTACATTTTTACTGGGACTATGTATTCAATGTTTTTTAAAAAAAAATTGTGCTTTTTTTGATAAATTAAGACAAGATAAGACTTCTCAGCAGCTTCACAAGCTTTTATTACAAAAAAATTATTACAGTCTGTTTCCAAGACATTGTAGTTAATTAAAAATTTTTATTTAAAATTAAAGTTATGTTAATTTATAAATTATATGTTATTAGTGAATCCCCATAAGTAATCGTTGGCTCATAATTTTTTTGTTAACAAAGCAATACATATGTCAACTGTACTAGAAGTGAAATAGATAAGTATCACGTAGTCAGCCAAAAGCTTTTACATTATAATAAAGCGTTTTTAGTTTATCTCTAACAAATAAGTTATTCAAGGCTTCCTTGCCCCTCCCCCCACTCCTCCTTAAAAAGAGGGCCACAGTATAATTTTATGAATTCACTTGAACCAAGATCTTTCAAGGCACGGTAATTCGAAATTCCTTTCCTCAACAAAACTCAATTTCCGTATGAAATAACTTCCCTCTTCAAAGGAGAAGAAGAGTCCCTCTTCCCAATGGTTCGAGATAAAAGCAAAAGTGCGCATATTCGCACGGCAAAAAGAATTGAGACTCGCATGCGTATACACGAGGCGAAGGTAGGTTGGAGAGAATACGAAGTTACAAAGACGCGATAAATGTGTGTGCGTGCACCTCTAAAGGCGCGCGAGTACAACGCAGCGATAAGTAGACGTGTCTAGAATTTTTTTTTTTTGCACATTTTTTTTTCTCGTGTCTGCTGGGAAAGCTGAAATTTAATTATTTACTGTTGGGACGTATACTTACGTATGCACGAGCGTAGATGACGTAGATGTTGTTGTTGATGCGCGTTACCTTCTTGCTTTAAGCCATCCTTTGGAGTGACGGCTTTTGTGGCTAGTTTTAAAAATTTTCAGCTATATTTTCCATTAGCGATACTGGCTACGTGATGAATCGTGAGTGTCGACGGAAGAAAGTGACTTGGAAAGTTTACTTTGAAAGTTAATTTAAATTTATAGAGAGGCGTTCGTCGACAAGTAATTTACAACAAAGTAAACGTCACACGATGCATATGGATGTCTCCCCATTAGCATAATATATGGCATTTGTGTACTACAAAGTGACGAATAGTCCATAAGCTACGAGAATAAATGATTTTTTCGATCGAGCGGACATTAGCACATTTCACGGGTACATTTCTCAAATCTTCCCTCAAGAACTTCGCAATAGAGGTTGTAGACGTTTCGTTCAGTCGACCGGAAAAAAATTTCTTGTTTGCTGCTGTATCGAACTTTATCGGCTCATGACAAAAATGTCGAAGCGAAGAGCGAGCTCCTTTTCGCGCACTTACTTGAGAAACATGGAAAGGTTTTCTTGTCTTTTCGCACCATGTCGATGAGTTTCTGACTTTGACGTCTACCGTGACTGCGAAAAAGAAAAATGTTTTCCCATTAGTTTCACACGTCTGTTGTCACAGAACAAATAGTTGTAACTTTTGACAGGACAACGATATTTTTCCAAATGTGTGTCCCACCCCATAGCGTTGCCGGACCACAAATTACACTGGATACTTTTTACACCCTTGGATGCAGCTCTCTCGATTCATCCCCAATTACCATTTCCCTTTTTTCGCTCAACTTCAGGATCGTGCGAAAAAATTCCACCCAACTCCAGAGAGCACTGACGACCAACTTTTTTCCCCGACACCATCGGTCGGATCATAAATTCAAACTGCAGCGTGGCAAGTCGGGCTAAAAATTCATTATTAAAACCGCAGTAAAGGCTGCACCTCGCGCGGGACATTACCGTAATTGAAAATTTCATAACGTAAAACTTACTCCGCCACCGCGCACCCTTAACCTTTTACGTCCACGAAGTGTTGAAAAAAAAAAAGACCTCAGCCAAGATGCTCGTCAGTTGGTAAAAAGCTTGTGAAATATTCACCACCTGAACATAAAGCCGAAGGAGACGAGAAGCACCTACATTTTCTACGATAGCTGAAGCGCATCATCGGTACATGTATAGATACACAGCGCGTTTTTCACGCACCTGTCACGTCTCGATGTCTCTGTTTTCAGTAGCCATAGGTAACCTCACCAACAATGATCACGGCTACCTCGCTGCCAAACACTCTTGGTTTTGGTTTTATTGGTAAGTAACATTTTACAATCCCTATTTTTATTCAATACGCAATCTTTTTAACACTTTTTTTTGTTGCAGAAGCTTATTCAGAATTAACCTGCTCAGTGGTATCTATTTATAAAATCACTTGGCGTGAGTCTTTTCAACAGAATATATTGTTTTTGATGACTTTCAGAGTCTTTTAATGTTCATACATAAAAATAATATTCAGGTCCCTAGAGAGAGAATCATGCTCCTGTACAATATATTGGACTTGTTCATGTGGGTCAATTATTGTCAGTAAAATAATTTCAAGGATAAAATTTTACAAAATATTATAATACAGTATTACATTTTATCTAAAATTTATTAATAGTTCACATAACCACATGGAAACCACTTGTATATACCTAAGTATCCGTAGAAAAATAAGTTTTAAGATAAAAAAAATTCTTATGTTACATATTGTATCTTTACTTATGATTACTCAATAGTTAAAAAAAAGGTTTATTTATCAATTAGAGCAAATAAAGTCTTCTGTACGTATTTGTACCAAATTGATTGATTTTAACAATAATTATGATATAAATCATAGGACTGAAGAGCATACTCAGTAAAATATGAATGTTTTATTTATTTATATATTTTTATTTATTTTCAAACTTAAAATTTACATTTGAAATAGATAACGAGACACAAATACATTAAAATTACGAAAAATTAACTTATTTGTCACGACCATCCACTTCAATATTGTTAAAAATGCCTTTATATACCATGTTATTGAAAGATTAACTTAAACTTTATATCTCCAGTTGAAAGGCCATTAGTTTTGCATTATATTGTTGATAAAAACTTAGTATTCCATGGTATACATTTGCAACAAACTAATAATTTGATGATCGTATTTTGTAGTATACAATGTACACTGATATAACTGTACTTAATACCTGGAAAAAGTAATATTGTAAAATGTAGATTTTATTCAATAACGGAATTTTCTTGTACATTTTATCAATAAGTTTTGGTCATGGTCACGACGCACGGGGCCTTACTTTTTTAAACGAAATTAAAATTTTACTAAATTATCTCAGGTTAACAAAAAAACGGACTTTATTTTTAATATTTCGTGTTACAAGATCAAGAAACTTTATACAAAAAAGTTATTTATATCAAATTAAAAAAAAGTATAGGCATTTGGGTGGATAGTATTAAAAATTAATGATTATAAATTCAAGTTTTTTTTCATGATTTGATGGAAAAATAATATCTGAAATAGATCGAGCTTACAAAAGATTTTACTAAGAAAAAAAATTAGGAAACTGTTTTACTCTAAAAACGCTGAAGAAATCATTAATTTTTTAAACCACAACTCATTTATACTGAAATATTTTATTGTGATAATCCCACTGTACATTCAAATGCATTTTATTTATTAAAGTTCAAAGTTATTAAAAATTCTTACCTTTAGAAGTAATGACTCCTGCAACAAAAAAGCATTCAAAGCTTCAAACTTAATATCCGTTTTTATGCATTGATTTGCAAATAGTAATAGCTAAAAATAAATGTGGTTCTCATTACAACATTTATTACTTAAAATTATTAGCTTCAAATGCTTACTTGATGTAATGTATGTTCATCTTTTATATTGTCTGTACGTATCAAGCACTGAATTAAAGTTAACTCAATCTTCTTACTCTATAAAAATAATGATAATTGGATAGAAATTTAGTATTTGAGGTGCATATCTAGAATCAACAGTATTTTACCTCTGCAGTTGCTAATCTAGCTGATTTAGTTAGTAGCATCAGCATAAATACAGCATCGAAGAAATATATATATTTTTTAAATGACTCAAATTCAAGAGTTTTTGGTAGGACACCAAACACAATAAAGCTTTGGATTTTGTCTATCAACAATGTAGTATATATTGCGATGAATAAAAATATCGATAACGAGTAAAAATTAGACACGTCTTGAGATAATTCCATTAGTAATACATGTATTTCTCGTAATTTCAAAATGCTCAATGATTTTTCTGATAGACTGGGATTCAGTGAATCAACAATTTTTTTATGTGACATAGTATCAAAGATCTTTTTCAAGTTATAATTAATTGATTTGAATGATAGTTTAATACAAATAGTGAATAAAACATATTGTATCATTACTATTTTTATTATTATGAAGTATACTGCTTTCAAAGATCGAACTATCGACCTTCCTCGATAAAAATTATCATGTAGGTACAATATTAATGTAAGCACATTAAAAATGTAAGTGAAAAAGACAAAATACAAATTTTTTTTTTTTGTTCAATACAAGTTGATTGTTATTAATTTTTTTCTCCAACTTGTTAAACATTTCTCTTAAGGAGTTTACTTTTGTTAGAATTGTAATGGCGACTTTTTGTTTGATGACATGTTGAATTAAA